GCTCGTCCCTCCCCGGGGGCGCCTCTCCAGATTTCCCATATGGATCTGACTTGCTCCATGCTGGCCAGTGCTTGTCCCACCCGTGTAAGCAGTATGCCACCGCGCAGGTCACGGTCCGGGTTGCTCCCCTTGTGCGCTGGGGAGTGGTGCTGAGCAGTGCTGGCGTTTGGCAGGGGCAGGACCGTGTGGGTGCTCAGAGGCAGGGTACCTCGCCGACAGGGCTGCTCCGCTGGCACGCAGCCCTTCCAGGAGTTTCCTCTGTAAATATTTGTACGTTTGGCTATCCATGTTTACCAAATCATTTACAGGAGGTTCTTTTCTGGCAGAGGTTTCCAAACACGCAGCCCCACGCCAGCAGCCGCCAAGGTGTGAGCATGCCGGGGTGCAGCGGGTGCCATGTGCAGGAGTGCTGCCTGCGCTCGCTGCCTGCGCTCGCTGCCTGTGAGAATGGAGCAGCTGTGGGGACCGGTGGACAGAGGGGAAATGCTCGTTCCAGGGTGATGGGCTCGCTTTGCCGGGGGGGAAGAACGCTGGGCTGTGTGGCAGCACCCATGCCATGAGATGGTGGGCTCCAGGCTGGGGTGCAGGGGCTGGATACTCATGTCCTTGTTAGCACCCCGTGTCCCAGGAGATGCCACCTTGCTGCTGGCTCTGCAGACCCGTGCTGAGCTCCCCAGGGCGCACGGGCATCTCTGCATCCCCCTTCTGACTCCAGCAAATCTCAGCTCTGGCACAATGTGGCAGAGACGCCTGTTGAGCTTGTACAGCCTCTGCAGCTGCTGGCTCGTGGTCCTGTGAGCTCGGTCCTGTCTTCTGCGGATCCTTGGGGTCAGCGTCCTCGTCTGCCTCTTGCACAGGGTTTGAGAAGGGTTAGTGCCTGGTTTATTCTAGGCTGGAGGCTGCCTGCCCTGCGCTCTGTTTATCCAGCCTTGGTGAGCTCATCCTCTCCCGTCCCCCAGCACGGCTGTGTGCTGTGCGAGTGGTGGGGAAACAGTGCTTATAATTAAAACTCTGCTATAAACTGCCTTTCATTAGAACAACAATAACAAGAAGAAAGGTTAAGTTTGGGGGGGGAAAACCACATGTACACTTGTGGTTTAAAGAAAATAAAAGTTCTTTTCTTAGAATTTGTAAGGCAGACTTGGCTCCTCCCAGCCCTTCTTTCTAACCAGATAGGAGCCTGGCAGGTCCCAGGGATATTCCAGTAAATGTGCAGGACATGGTGTGCCCAGAGCGTTCTGCTGAGAACCGAGAGCTCTGGTGTGCGGCGGTGGGGAAGAGCCCAGCCCCGCTGCCCACAGAGCCCCGCGGGGACCTTTGGCTGCGCTGCTGGTCCGGCTCTCCTTGGATGTCGGTTTAAAAAATCCTCTTAAGCATTTTGGAAGTGCAAGAGCCCTAAAAAGCTTACAACTTCCCAACTGATTCCTTAGATTTTGTGTCTTTGTCCTTGCACAGCCGTTTTGTCTTTTGTCCGAGCGGTTTGCCGGGGTGGGGGGTTGCTCTGCGCGGCCCCACTGCTGACAGCCTGGCTGGGCTGAGCAGGGAGAGCTGTCGAGGGCAAGGGCCTTCTTGGTGTCAGGGCCAGATATTCAGCTCTCATCTGACAGATATTCAGCTCTCATCTGACAGATATTCAGCTCTCATCTAACAGCTTTGCGTGGCTTGGCCAAAGCAAGAGAGCTTCA